ACAGGAGCGCTGGTGGAGTAAGAGAGAGACAGACGAGCGTGTGGAAGTGAGACAGGAGCGCCGGTGGAGTAAGAGAGAGACAGACGAGCGTGTGGAAGTGAGACAGGAGCGCCGGTGGAGTAAGAGAGAGACAGACGAGCGTGTGGAAGTGAGACAGGAGCGCCGGTGGAGTAAGAGAGAGACAGACGAGCGTGTGGAGGTGAGACAGGAGCGCCGGTGGAGTAAGAGAGAGACAGACGAGTGTGTCGAAGTGAGACAGGAGTGCCGGTGGAGTAATGGAGAGACAGATGAGCATGTGGAGGAGAAACAGGAGCGCCGGTGGAGTAATAGAGAGACAGACGAGCATGTGGAGGTAAACAGTAGTGCCAGTGGAGTAAGGGAGAGACAGACGAGCGTGTGGGAGTGAGACAGGAGCGCCGGTGGAGTAAGAGAGAGCCAGACGAGCATGTGGAGGTAAACAGTAGTGCCAGTGGAGTAAGGGAGAGACAGACGAGCGTGTGGGAGTGAGACAGGAGCGCCGGTGGAGTAAGAGAGAGCCAGACGAGCATGTGGAGGTAAACAGTAGTGCCAGTGGAGTAAGGGAGAGACAGACGAGCGTGTGGGAGTGAGACAGGAGCGCCGGTGGAGTAAGAGAGAGCCAGACGAGCATGTGGAGGTAAACAGTAGTGCCAGTGGAGTAAGGGAGAGACAGACGAGCGTGTGGGAGTGAGACAGGAGCGCCGGTGGAGTAATGGAGAGACAGACGAGCATGTGGAGGTAAACAGTAGTGCCAGTGGAGTAAGGGAGAGACAGACGAGCATGTGGAGGTGAGACAGGAGCGCTTGTGGAGTAATGGAGAGACAGACGAGCGTGTGGAGGTGAGACAGGGGCGCCGGTGGAGTAATAGAGAGACAGACGAGCGTGTGGAAGTGAGACAGGAGCGCTGGTGGAGTAATGGAGAGACAGACGAGCATGTGGAGGGGAAACAGGAGCGCCGGTGGAGTAATAGAGAGACAGACGAGCGTGTGGAAGTCAGACAGGAGCGCCGGTGGAGTAATGGAGAGACAGACGAGTGTGTGGAAGTCAGACAGGAGTGCTGGTGGAGTAATAGAGAGACAGACGAGCGTGTGGAAGTCAGACAGGAGCGCCGGTGGAGTAATGGAGAGACAGACGAGTGTGTGGAAGTCAGACAGGAGTGCTGGTGGAGTAATAGAGAGACAGACGAGCGTGTGGAAGTCAGACAGGAGTGCTGGTGGAGTAATAGAGAGACAGACGAGCATGTGGAAGTCAGACAGGAGTGCTGGTGGAGTAATAGAGAGACAGACGAGCGTGTGGAAGTCAGACAGGAGCGCCGGTGGAGTAATGGAGAGACAGACGAGCGTGTGGAAATCAGATAGGAGCGCCGGTGGAGTAATAGGGAGACAGACAAGCATGTGGAGGAGAAACAGGAGCGCTGGTGGAGTAAGAGAGAGACAGACGAGCGTCTGGAGGTGAGATAGGAGCGCCGGTGGAGTAATGGAGAGACAAACGAGTGTGTGGAGGTGAGATAGGAGCACTGGCCTATTTGTCAGCATTGATCAAGCCATTAGGAGTGTGTGCAGGGAGCCATATTGGTTTTTGAGGCCAAAGGGTGCGAGAGAGACAGAGATGAAGCACTTGAACGTACTGAACTCTACTGGGACTCTAATGAATCTGACACACACCGTGTTTCTCTATCTGAGAGAAGCTGCTGGAGTGAACGACTTCTTCAGCACTCATGAGTTCAGACGCTTCATCAGCCAGAGTGAACACCTCAAGTCAGCATCTGCAGACACTTGTGTGTGTGTGTGTGTGTGTGTATGTGTATGAGTTGATGCAGGAATACAGCGAGACATCGGACACTGTTCAAACACACCTGGATCTTTACTGAGCTGTAGTATCCTCAAATTGAGCTGAATCTGACGGATGATCCAAAGGAGTCTCACCTGGGGAAAAAAAACAATGCATAAATAAAGTAAATAATGGTTTTGTTTTATTTTTTCCTCTTAATATTTTAAAATGCAATTCGTTTTATTTTAAGCTTTGTGCTAGCCTGTAGTAATTATAGTAAACTTATAATTTTTATAATATAACTTTTAACTAAATGTGTATTTATTGTGTTGTTGTTTTTCTCCTCATATCTTCTTGTCTCGTCTTATGTCTTGTATCTTCTCAAATCTTGAATCTTATCTTTTCTTCTCATCTATTCTCTTCTCTTCTCATATCTTTTCTTCTCTTATTGTCTCTTCTTGTGTCTGTTGGATCTCTTAACTAATTAAATGTGCTTGTGTGTGTCATTTTCATCTAAATTTTGTCATATGTATCAGTTTGTGTATGTTTTTATTTCACGTGAGAGTGAAATTTAGCAGTGTAGCAGTAATTTAGGGTGTCTTTTAGTGGTTTCACTCTTTAATGATTGTGTCTTACCAATGAAAACCATATTACTCTGACGCTAATTAAATGTGCTTGTGTGTGTCATTTTCATCTAAATTTTGTCATATGTATCAGTTTGTGTATGATTTTATTTCACGTGAGTGAAATTTAGCAGTGTAGCAGTAATTTAGGGTGTCTTTTAGTGGTTTCACTCTTTAATGATTGTGTCTTACCAATGAAAACCATATTACTCAGACATTTTGTTGAGTGTTTTTTTC